AACAAAAGAATCGTATATAAAAGAACCCCCACCACGTACCAACTATTACGATCTGATAAGGATTTAGTGGATAGAAGAACACTCCCCGGGGTATATAAAATTCCAGTCACAGACTCAAGGCGACGAAGTAAATTAATGTATGTAGGGGCAACAGGAAGATGTATCAAAGACAGGTTAGCAGAACACCAAGCAAATATAAGAAAAAAACAACCATGCACTGCGCTAGCCACCTACGTTCTAGCGGACCAGCAAGACGTCCAAGTTGAATGGGACCAAGCAAGACTAATGCAGATAGTCCGAGACAGGAAACACCGACATTACGCGGAAGCCTGGCAGATTTGTAAGGCAAAGCATAAAGGCCTCGCAATCAACTTCCGGGAAGCGACTAAAATATCAGCAGCATGGTCCTCTAGCTTATTATAATATTAATAATTGAAGGAAGTAGTCACTATGTATCTCAGATTACGTACTTTTGAATAATGTAGAGAGATGGCAACTATACGTATTTAGATGTAAATATTTATGTAATATTGTTATATTTCCGTTGCTAAGTTTACACTGACGTCATTCGCAACGGATTATAAGCCAGTTCGAAAGATTCAAAAAAGAGTTATTTGTATTAAGTGTTCGATTTACAGTGTTTGTTCTTTATTTAATCGTATTTTCTTGAGAAAGGTCTTTTAATAAGACCGAAAACGTTTGAAGTTTTCTAATAAACGTCAACTGCAAGAAAAGGTGTTGTAGTAAGTGTTTTTTGATATTAAAATATGCAGTCTAGAACGATGTGCCATTAACTGTTATACAATTTTAGCATGTCACTGAAACAGTGTATGTGTTCTGTTGTAATGAGTACTAAATGTGATAAGTGAGATGAGTGATGTAAAATGTATTTGTAAAATGTACATTGTTGTTAAAATGCAAATGCAAGTAAGAGCTTTAAGAGTAAGTAAGAATGCCTTGATAAAGAGGAATCTGTGAGAAAAATTTATGATGAGTTAGATGCTGGAAAAAGTACAATGATGGGCAATGAAATAGACAGTCAATATATGATTTCTGCAAGATTAGAGTCAGAAAAATACTTTCAACTCAACATACTGTACCCTGAAGAAACCAAAATATGAAATTGGTGATGATATGTTGATCTTCATGGTGATGATATATTTTGGTTTAGTTTAACAGGCTGATTATAAAACAAAGCTATTGTTCTCCATTCAAAACTTGAAAATGCAGGTGAATTCTCTGCAAATGATGAATGATTTTTACATTGGAAAAAATTACTTAGTGTTTATCATCTAGAAAGAAGTGGAGAAAAATTGTCCACTGAGCCATCTGCAGCCATTGAGTTTGCACAGAAATTTCAGAAAATTGGGGAAAAAGAAAACTTACATCCTGAACAAGTTTATAATATAGATGACACAGGTATAACTTTAAACTTTTTCCAACAAAAGCATTTGTTTTGGCACAAGAAACATCAGCAATTAAATTCAAACAGAACAAGAATAAATAGTAACATTTCATGTACATGCATTAGATACTCATAAAATGCTTCTGTTTGTAATTGAAAGTCTGCAAAACATCATGCTTTTAAACATTTAAATCTATCTTCTTTTCTGGTATACTATAAAGTTCAGAAATCAGCATGGATAGACTCATATCTGTTTAAAGATTGGTTTAGTTTTGAGTCTGATCACAAAGTGAAGAACTACTTAAAAGAGTATCATAGGCATTTTAATGCTTAAAAGCATTAAAATGCCTATGATACTCTGTATACTGATTAAAAATACTACTTAAAAGTATCATAGGCATTTTAATGCTTAAAAGCATTAAAATGCCTATGATACTCTGTATACTGATTAAAGATAATATTACAACACATCCTGATGATATATTTTGTAATAATGATATTAAAATTGTATATTTACCATTCAATGTGACAAGTTTGATAAAACCTATGGACCAGGACATAACTGTATGTTTAAAATGACAATACAGGCACAAACTTTTCTCTCAGATTTTATAATGTACTAGTGACAAAACAAGTTTACTCAAAGCCCTTATAAAAATCAGCAAGAAGGACATTATCTACATGTTGGCAAGAGTTTTCAAAGAAATGCTTTCTAGAACACTTATGAAATCATGGCATAAAGTTTGGCCAGATATTGAAAGATGTGTCTGAGAACTCAACTGTATCCACTGATTCAGCATTAGATAAGAACACGGATAAAGATATCTCTATGTTAAATGATCTTAAGATGCTACCTGATTGCAAGGTACCTCAAGATGATGTTGAGAACTGGGGAAAGAGTGGTGAAAAGCTTCAAAATGAATGTTCAACAAATGAAGAAATAATCAGTGCTGAATGCATAGAGGAATCTGAAGATAAAACAGCAAATAGAGATGAAGAGAAAAAGAAGAAAAAGTGACTCATAAAGAAGATAAAAAAGCAATCAAAGTCATAGTAATTACATTAAATAGCAATGCTGTTGATATGATGTTTATTAGAAATTTTGCATTTAAAAAAGCAATAATTGCCAAAAAAATATCTGGCTTTTCAAGTGAGTTTAAGTAAGACTGTACATGTAATATAAACAGTAATTTGGTTTTTTATTATACCTACTGTATTAATGATTTAAAGCAACACATTAGTACAATATATGTAATAGATAAATTAAGATACATATGTAATAGATAAATTAAGATACATATGTATTAAATTATTTTAAAATGACAATGTATTTCAGAGTTTTTATTTACATATTGATGTAGTACAGTATTTTATATTCTTCTGATTAAATGACCATGGGTCAGTTAAAAGACCTCCTACTATATATACTATTTAATGTTGTGTTTTATAATCCTTCAAGATTCTACACATTTACATGTCGCTTTATAAATACAGTAGATCCCCCTATAAAACCGTTTCCTATAGTTATGATTCCTATAAAAATTGTGGCATTATCCGTAAACAACGGTAAAAATAACTCCTATAATACGTAAAACGTCATCGGGCAGCCGAACTACTTACCCGCCGTCCGTAGCGCCACGCTACGGAGAGATTTCTATCGTCTGGACAGTATTATATAAATTATATATAAATTAGGTACTGTACATATAATTATATATTAATTATATATAAATTAGGTACTGTATATATAATTATATATTAACTTAATTTATTGTAACTTTATTATAATTAAATATATATTTTTCGCCGTCTAGCGTCACGCTACGGCGAGTTAGGCGACCTATCGTCTGTTTAGTACTGTAATTTTATACATTTCTTGTGAAAGAAACATTTCTTATTTAACGGCCATAAAAATTATTTATATTAATGATGTCTCCAAAGGTCAACGAAGTTTTCGCAGAAAAATAATATCAGAAATCGCGGCCGCAATTTGATGCGCTGTTCCGCGACGAAACCAAGCTTTAGCAACGGGCGTAGTCGAACGGTACACACTCGGTAAGCAATCCTACAATTTTTTGTTTATAACGTAGTTTATACGGATTATTTTCAAAAAAATATACGTATTTTGGAAATGTTGAGTCGAATTAGTCTAGAATCGATTAATTTTATGAAAGAAAACCTTTCAAACAGCCGTAGTCCGTAAACTATGATTCCTACAAAATTGATTCATAAAGAACGGAACGTATCTACCGTCTTATAGGGGGATCTACTGTACATTTTTAACAGGCTTTTTTGTATATTTGTTCTATTGAGAGAGGCAATTATTATCTTCATGATTTTATAAAAATAAATAAAGATATACATACTATTTTTGATATTGATAACCATGTCCAAGGAATATTTCTGGCTGAACTTTTTAAAAGGTAGTATGTTTCTAAAGGAGCAAATAACCATAAAAAACCACATGGCATCCAAACTAATACTGTTTTCTGAAAACATGATGTAAACTCAGGACTAGAAGTATTCCATGTTAATTGTGAATCCTGAAATGAAAACATTAAATTTAAATTAACTTCTTATTTTATCATAACAGACTTAACATTAATAAATACATATAAACAATAATTATCTTCTGATAAGAAAGTTAATAAGTAAACTTTTTTCAAATTAAGACACTATTCAATTTTTGTACATAATCATTTATAATCGTAACATAATCGTTTTGTAATCATAATCGTACATAATTGTTTTGTACATAAATGCATCAATGTAAATTTAATTCTTTACTGAATTTTTTCCATTAAGTAATTTCTTTTACTTACAAATTGGAAATTTGTAAGTAAAAGAAGAATATATTAAGTAATAAGAAGTCAGATTTATATATTGTATTTTTATAACATACTAGCTTTTATCCGCGACTTTACCCGCGGACGTTTTACAAGCAAACATATTTATATTCAATACTAGCAGACCCCACCACGCCTTGTTGTGGCTCAAAATGTATCTATTATAAATGTATAACACTTCCCCAGTAGGGGGAAATTTTTCGAAAAATTTTTTCTTAGTGTACATTCTGTTGACTTACCCTATTAAAACGCAATCAAAAACGCAAAAACCCACATCTAAAATAGTATAATAGAAGCCAAGTCTTTCAGAGTAAGCCTTAATCCTGTCTCTCTCCCCCGCGGGGAGAATATCAAAAAATCCCTTCTTAGTGTATATTCTGTTGATGTATCCTATTAAAATGCAATCAAAAACGCAAAAACCCGCATCTAAAATAGTATAATAGAAGCCAAGTTTTTCAGAGTAAGCCTTAATCCTGTCTCTCTCCCCNAAAAAAAAAAAAAAAAAAAAAAAAAAAAAAAAAAAAAAAAAAAAAAAAAAAAAAAAAAAAAAAAAAAAAAAAAAAAAAAAAAAAAAAAAAAAAAAAAAAAAAAAAAAAAAAAAAAAAAAAAAAAAAAAAAAAAAAAAAAAAAAAAAAAAAAAAAAAAAAAAAAAAAAAAAAAAAAAAAAAAAAAAAAAAAAAAAAAAAAAAAAAAAAAAAAAAAAAAAAAAAAAAAAAAAAAAAAAAAAAAAAAAAAAAAAAAAAAAAAAAAAAAAAAAAAAAAAAAAAAAAAAAAAAAAAAAAAAAAAAAAAAAAAAAAAAAAAAAAAAAAAAAAAAAAAAAAAAAAAAAAAAAAAAAAAAAAAAAAAAAAAAAAAAAAAAAAAAAAAAAAAAAAAAAAAAAAAAAAAAAAAAAAAAAAAAAAAAAAAAAAAAAAAAAAAAAAAAAAAAAAAAAAAAAAAAAAAAAAAAAAAAAAAAAAAAAAAAAAAAAAAAAAAAAAAAAAAAAAAAAAAAAAAAAAAAAAAAAAAAAAAAAAAAAAAAAAAAAAAAAAAAAAAAAAAAAAAAAAAAAAAAAAAAAAAAAAAAAAAAAAAAAAAAAAAAAAAAAAAAAAAAAAAAAAAAAAAAAAAAAAAAAAAAAAAAAAAAAAAAAAAAAAAAAAAAAAAAAAAAAAAAAAAAAAAAAAAAAAAAAAAAAAAAAAAAAAAAAAAAAAAAAAAAAAAAAAAAAAAAAAAAAAAAAAAAAAAAAAAAAAAAAAAAAAAAAAAAAAAAAAAAAAAAAAAAAAAAAAAAAAAAAAAAAAAAAAAAAAAAAAAAAAAAAAAAAAAAAAAAAAAAAAAAAAAAAAAAAAAAAAAAAAAAAAAAAAAAAAAAAAAAAAAAAAAAAAAAAAAAAAAAAAAAAAAAAAAAAAAAAAAAAAAAAAAAAAAAAAAAAAAAAAAAAAAAAAAAAAAAAAAAAAAAAAAAAAAAAAAAAAAAAAAAAAAAAAAAAAAAAAAAAAAAAAAAAAAAAAAAAAAAAAAAAAAAAAAAAAAAAAAAAAAAAAAAAAAAAAAAAAAAAAAAAAAAAAAAAAAAAAAAAAAAAAAAAAAAAAAAAAAAAAAAAAAAAAAAAAAAAAAAAAAAAAAAAAAAAAAAAAAAAAAAAAAAAAAAAAAAAAAAAAAAAAAAAAAAAAAAAAAAAAAAAAAAAAAAAAAAAAAAAAAAAAAAAAAAAAAAAAAAAAAAAAAAAAAAAAAAAAAAAAAAAAAAAAAAAAAAAAAAAAAAAAAAAAAAAAAAAAAAAAAAAAAAAAAAAAAAAAAAAAAAAAAAAAAAAAAAAAAAAAAAAAAAAAAAAAAAAAAAAAAAAAAAAAAAAAAAAAAAAAAAAAAAAAAAAAAAAAAAAAAAAAAAAAAAAAAAAAAAAAAAAAAAAAAAAAAAAAAAAAAAAAAAAAAAAAAAAAAAAAAAAAAAAAAAAAAAAAAAAAAAAAAAAAAAAAAAAAAAAAAAAAAAAAAAAAAAAAAAAAAAAAAAAAAAAAAAAAAAAAAACCACAAAATTCAACTGATTAAACCAATCTTATCTTACCAAATATTGAGTTATTTGATAATATAAAATGCTTTATTTACTAGGATTATAATTCTTTAGTTGTTGTCATAGCTTTTACTAATTTATAATAAAATTCAAATAATTTCAAATAAATACAATTTACCTGAAGATTTAACATTTTATTCATTAAATTTCTTTTATCAAAAATTCCAATAGATAAGCTAGTGATTTTTGTGAGAATTTACACAACTTAGCAATGAAACAGAATAATGTATTGTAAATAAAAAACATTTAAAGAACAAATTTAAAATACTGTAAAAAACAAACTATTCTGTCTATGTGATTTCATTAAATGTTATGTTAATTAAACAAAAATAGCAACATAAAGAGAAGTCAATGGATTTTAACAGAATATTTTGAAGTGGTTTGCATATCATCAATTTCTCTAAACAATTTTAAAACAAATGATAATGTATAAAATTTATTAACAAACAAATCATTCATCAAAATGAACTCTAAAATGTATTTGTTTTCAAAAAGAAATCTCAATTCAAAATGCAGTATGAAATCTCCAAATCCACAAACTAAGTTTCCAAATCTAGCAACACTCTATAAGGCATTATCTCTTTTACTTTATTAATTGCCCAACAGAATTATCAGTTTTGAAATGCAACAACAATGAAAGGATTAATTTTTTTCTTTATAAATTATAATGAAGTATATTATTAATACAAAAAGTTATATAAAATTCAATATAAAGAAATTAAAGTTATTTTTTTTTGTATAAAGTATTCGAATGAATACATACACAATTTTTATAGAAACAGAATGGTTTAAAATCACCCAAAAAAACTTACAATGAAGAGCAAATTATCTCAAATATTTCATCAATTATAATGAAGTTATTTCTTTCAAAACTATCTTATTTATTAATTAATTTCTTTACTATTTTTAGTTAAAAGTTTTTAAACACAAATGCATATTTTGATTGTGAAAATAGATATTTTTTAATAAAAATCACTATCATTCAGGAAATAAATTTATTTAAAAATTAACAAAATCTCAATAAAGATTTGTAACAGAAGTTGTCAATTAACATTTTTATCTAGCATAAAAAAAATCAAATAATGTATTTGTCATTTCAATTTATAAGAATTTATATTACTATAAGAAGACCTTGATCTAATTATTCTAAATAATTAATTCCTCCATTATGTGATTATTAACTGATTAAGCAAATCCAACTCAACTATAAGTAATTGATTGTCAAGTTAAAAAGAAAATTTTTGTGTCCTATCTACTTAAAATATTCAAGTTATTATGTTCTTATTTATATTTTTTATTATTATTAATATAATAATATACTTTTACAATGATAAACTTACAAAAATTAATATACAAAAAAATTTTAATTTTTTTTT